GGATGGATTCAATAGGCTGCTTCCCACTAGGCTAGCCCTACAATTGACAGATAAAATGGAGCTGTGGAAAGTTCGCATGCAGTTCATTTATCCCTGTAAAAAGGGAGGAGAAAAGACCTCTTGCTGCTTTTGAATGGAAAGGAGGGTGCTAAAGGGAAAGCACAAGAATGCTGTCCTGTTTGGGACTTCAATTCTGGAAACAACTGACCTGTTCTCTGAGCCAGAGAAATTCCACACTGGGTCACAGGCAACTAATTATATTTTGCTTCCTTCCAAGTCAGCAATGTTTCACTAGCGCTAAAACAAACAAACAAAAAAACCCCAAAACAAGTCCAAAAGGATGGAAGAAGAAGGGGACAGATGAAGAGTAGGACTGATTTACAGGCCAGTTACATGCCTACCCACTTATAAAACAATCGGAACAGCTTCCACAAATTAGGTAATTTACTGATATGGAAACAGAATCTTTTCCTTACATTGCTCAAAATCTGTTTTTCACCCTATTCCACCATAAGCACATTAAAAGTAGACATCTTACTCATCTTCCTACCACCTCCCTACTCATTCCTACCACAGCTCACATACAAAAAGACAGCAAATGTCTTGATTTTATACATTATTTTTCATTGACATTACTTGCTTATAAAAGATGAGTTTTTGTATGTCATCATTTCTAATGGTTCCATCATTGGTAAGTCTCAAAACCACTCTGGCTGAGAATGTTGCGGCTGTTACTCAATGCTAAGAGCCACAGCTGTCCCTACTTCATTCCTCTTTGGTTAAATCAGAGGAATAAAGAGTCTGAAACTGGGGCTTCCACAAGCTATTTTAAACAAAGTTGGAACTACGTATCTTCCCATGTAGAATTAAAACTGATGATAAAAATAAATAAGACTGATGAAGGAGGGTAAGGATAGTTCCTTGCACATGCACTCCAGCCCTACACAACAGTCTCAGGGATATATTCCTAGGTCACTATCCTTGCAAAAGCAGCTTGCAATGTACTCGTAATTCTTCCATGTTAGAAATGGTTATAGTCTTCTCTTTATGTTATATTTTCAAATGTTTAGAATGCACTTGAGGACTCAGTACAAGGATAAAAATTGTCGGATGGTGAGAATATAGGAGCATACCTATTTTTTACTTTTTTTTCAGAAATAATATTTTAGACTACTTTTTGCTCTAGATTAGGTTCCAAATAAAGTATTAATGTTTAAATCAGATTCCCAGTAATAGGAGATACATAAGTCTCCTGATCTAAAAGCATCAAGGACCATTACATCTATACTTACATAGCATTCATCTTTTGCTCCTCTTTGATCTAACTCCTTGAAGCCCTCAGGCTTCAGAATTTAGTCTAGTATTCATTGTCTACAATAAACCACCTCCTGATCAAGTCACAGCTTTCAAATCTAATCTACAAGAGCCACAACAGCATCCATTTAAACCACAGTGGAAAGAGACTAGAGACCAATGCTGAAGATCGAATTCACCACAACCTGGGGAAATCACCTAACATCTGCCTGAAAGGCTGCAGAGCGTAAATTTAAAAACCTTGCCTCTTCAGTTACATGTGACTTCAAGAAGGTATTTTAAGTAAGTTTAAAGGAGATTAAGAGAAATACGCAGAAATATGTTTATTATACTTTTTAACAAGATCAACTAGAATCTGGGGCACCTGGGTGGCTCAGTGGTTGAGCATCTTCCTTTGGCTCAGGCTCGTGATCTGGGGGTCCTCTGATCAAGTCCTGAATCAGGCTCCCCGCAGGGAGTCTGCCTCTCCCTCTGCCTGTGTCGCTGCCTCTCTCTGGAGAGATTCTCAACTAGAATCAACCTGAATGTCCCATGGATTGTATTTCTTTAGTTTATGTATTTACACTGATGAAACATTTTAAAGTTATGAAATTGTTAAAAAAATCCAAAGTATTTGCCATAATCCTCTTTAAAAGAAAACAAATTATATATATTTTTATTAAATATACATACAAATATGCATTACAAATTATATACATATATAATGATTAGAAAAATAAACACATAAGTGAAAAAATTAAAATTTATAAGAAAACCATGTCATTTATTCAACAATTTAACTGAGGGTCTATCATGAGTCAGGCCCTAGGTTAGGTGCTAAAGCTAAAGTGGTTTTAAAAAAGAAAAGATAGGGGCACCTGGGTGGCTCAGTGGCTGAGCATCTGCCTTTGGCTCAGGTCGTGATCCCAGGGTCCTGGGATCAAGTCCCATATTGGGCTCAACCTGCTTCTCCCTCTGCCTATGTCTCTGCCTCTCTCTCTCTCTCTATGTCTCTCATGAATAAATAAAAATATTTTTTTAAAAAAGAAAGACAAAAAAAAAAAAAAAGAAAGACAAGACAGGGATGCCTGAGTAGCTCAGTTGGTTAAGTGACTGACTCTTCATTTAGGTTCAGGTCATGATCACAGGGTCCTGGGATTAAAGCCCTACAACAGACTCTCTGCTGAGCAGGGAGCCTGCTTCCCCCTCTCTTTCTGCCTGCCTCTCTGCCTACTTTGTGTGGTCTCTCCCTCTGTGTCAAATAAATAAATAAAATCTTTAAAAAAAAAAAAAAAGATTCTCTTCTCCCTCTCCTGACCTCCCCCACTCTATTGCAATCTCTCTAAAAAAAAAAAAAAAAAAATTTTTTTTTAAAGATTTTATTTATTCATGAGAGAGACAGAGAGAGAGGCAGAGACACAGGCTGAGGGAGAAGCAGGCTCCATGCAGGGAGCCCGACGTGGGACTTGATCCCGGGTCCCCAGGATCACACCCTGGGCTGCAGACGGCGCTAATCTGCTGCGCCACCGGGGCTGCCCTCTAAAACAAAATTTAAAAATAAAATTCAAAAAATCTGGCCTCTTCCTTCTTGGAGTTATGATTACAATTACATTACTAAGTAAAAATAAATGCTATTATATAAGTACTTCGTTTTATTTTTTCTAAATAATAATGCTTATACATTAGTATTTTAGTAATATAATCAAAGCTTTTTTGCCAGGTGTGTGTTTCAAAGTCTAGATTGGGGACTAGACATTTATGACACAAATGTCAAGAAGTGGCACACAAAGATGACAACTATTGTTCCAAGTGCCAGTGGTGTGTGATCGCTGAAGGTGCCCTTTCTCATTCACCCTCATTTTCAAAGAGAAAAAAGTAATTTCTCATTCACCCTCTCATTTTCAAAGAGAAAAAAGTAATGTTGTTGAGGCCCATGTGGCAGTCCTCATCCTACATGGCTCAGCTACTTTTCATCACAACACTGAAGGTGGAGGAGTCATTTTTGATTTCAATAGACCAGCTACCTCTACCTCCCCCTCAGTAACTAACGCTCCTAGAGGAGCAACCAATAAAGTGACCACCTGGTACATGGCCTCTGAAAGACTGCCACCTTGGCCATACTGATATATGCATAATGCAAATCCCATCTGCAAGGAGAGCTTGTCTAAGAACTCTGAATTCTACCAGTTATTTATCCAGAAGGAACTTTTGTCAATGTGAGCAAGCTAAAGTCACACAATGAATCAAAGTCAGCTTATTTCCTCCTGAGAGCCGTTTTTGGTGGGGATAACACTGCCCTTTCCTTTCACAGCTAGGTTTGGGCTTGCTCCTTAGGTTTTCAAAAATAAACCATACTGTTTAGGAATACATATATAACTGATAAAACCATATAAGAAAAAGAAATGTGATTGTGGAGGGGCATGTCTAGGATTACAAGTCCTTACTACTCAAAGTGTGGTCCATGCACCAGGAGTGTCATATCTCCTTCAAGTTTGTCTGAAATGCAGAATCACACACTCCACCTGACACCTTCTGTATCAGAATCTGCATTTCATAAGATCTCCAGCTGTTTCATATACACATTAAACTTTGAGGGTCACTGTTCTTTTTTTTTAAGATTTTATTTATTTATTCATGAGAGACACACAGAGAGGCAGAGACATAAGCAGAGGGAGAAGCAGCCTCCATGCAGGGAGCCTGATGCAGGACTCAATCCCAGGACCCCGGGATCACAACCTGAGCCGAAGGCAAGACACAACCACTCAGCCATCCAGGGGCCCAAGGGTCACTGTTCAAAACACTTGTAATATTCTATTTTTATATCTGGAAGAGGAGCACACTTAGTATTATCCTCACGAATGTACATATTCTTTAGTCTTTGATTATGTGACATGTCGCTAACTCAGTCTACAAATGGACCCACTGTCAAAAACCTATTAATAGTGATTGTTAAAATGTAACCTTCAAACAATAAAAATTCAGATACAGATAAAACTCCAGGGATCACATAACCTGACTTCTTCATTTTATGGGAAATTAAACAGTCTGAATCAGGAGGGTCAATTTTTCCCTTATAAACAAATACTCATCTTAAGAGAGAAATCAGTATTAAATTTTTTTAAATTAAAATAATTCTTAAAACCAGTACCTTGTATTTAATAGTAGATGCCCAATATATCTTTGAATGAATGATTCACTTTGAGGCAGAGACAAAGATTGTTGTCTACCTCTTCTCAAAGGGCTGAGCTAAATTATAGGATGATTAATAAGTAATTTCCTTATGGAAAAAAAAAACAAGTTTGATTTTAGACAATTTATAATACTGTCCTCTACAATAACCAAAAATTACCCTTAAACTTTTATCAAATCAGAATATTTTACATGTTTAGCATTTATGTATATGAATCTGTTTGGTTTCTCTTTTTTTAACTTTTTTTATTTTTATTTTTTAAAGATTTTATTTATTTATTTATTCATGAGAGACACAGAGAGAAAGGCAGAGACACAAGCAGATGGAGAAGTAGGCTCCATGCAGGGAGCCCAATGTGAGGACTCGATCCCAGCATTTCAGGATTATGCCCTGGTCGGAAGGCAGACGCTCAACCACTAAACCACCCAGGCGTCCCAGAATCTGTTAGAATTCAAAGAAATCAGTATCCAAAGTAGGAATTTTAAAATTATTTGGAATATTAAAGAACAGTACTCACCAATACTAATTTCATCATCTGTTTCAGCATCACCAATACATTCAAATTGGAAATCTTGCAGTGACTGGGAAAATTTCTGTACGGCCATAGACAGATCTGTAATTAAAAAGTCAAAACAAACAAACAAACAAACAAACCATAAGTTGAAGGTATCATGGAATACAAGAGCTTCCATACATGTTATTGTCTGACTTCAGTTTTAATATTATATTTACCATATTTTATATGGTAATATGCCATATATTTTAAAATACTAGCTTGACAAATTTAAGCAGATTTTAAGAGACTGCTAAAGAAATATTTTAGGAACTGGATCTGCTCTGCCCACAGGGAATTTGCCCCTTATTTTTGGTGTTAGTTGTATACCATCTGAAGCCAATTCCCAAATCCTTTATCAAAGAACTACCATTCACTCCCTATAAATGGAACATTTATTAAAAAAAAAAAAAAAAAAAGAACAAACGAACAAAGGAAAGCTAGCCAGCCACCAAGTTTGCCAGTGGAGCAGAGAGAAAGGGTGGAGAAAACAGCCAATTTTTGATAAGGAAGAGTCACCAATGTACAGAGTACAGAGCAGGTGAGGAATGTGTTTTGATCCCCTAATGTGAAAGGCCACCTAAAAGGGTGTTTACAAATAACCTTGTGATTTATAGGGGACCTCAAGCTAAATATATTCTTCAATTCAGGCTTCAGTCTGAAAAAAGTCCAGAGTATGACTAAATCCAGAAGAATTCTTTATTCCTGGAGAGAATAAAGAAAAACCCATAATATAATGAGAAGTAAAGCCCAGGGATGCATCCTAACAGAGTGATTAAGAATGTACTCTGGAGCCAGTCTGCCTAGGTGGAAACCCAAGTCCCACCAAGTACTTGCTACCTGACCTTGGGCAAATTATTTAACTCCTCTGGGCCATTGTTTCCTCATCTGTGAAGGGAGAATAACAATTGCATAACCACCTCACACCAGTTGCTTTAAGGATTGAGTAAATTAATATTTGCAAAGAGTTTGGAACCAAGCCTGGCACTTAATAAACACTGTATAAGTTTTTTAAGGAAAATTATAAATCAGTCTGACGGTGCAGCATAATAGAGGCTTTAAAGAACCCACCTCTCATAACTACTCTGATCATCCACAACCTTTCCACAGAAATCTGTGCCAGTAGGAAAACATAGTTTTCTGGAATTCACCCTATTACTTCATTTAGTGGTGTCTCCCAGGGGTTCAAGTCCAATACCTGAACTCTTCTATTTAATTCAGGCAATAGAACCTAACAGAAGACTTTCTCCTTAACCAAAGGTTATCCAGGCTCTGAACCTTTATCTTGACCAGGCCTCTACTTTGGCTCCAGTCGTCACGGGCTCTACAAAATCCAGTTTTAGCAAGAATCTTGCCAAGTCAGTTTAGAGAGAATTCCCCACTCTGAACATGGGATCAAAATCTTCATCCTCTACCTTTTTCCTTGGCCTGCCTTCACCAAGAATCCCCTTTCCTTTGGTGTCTCCTACCAGTAATTTTTCATACCAATCCAGTATCCCCTAACACAATCCCAAGCCTGCTCCTTAGCTATAAATCACTACTTGTTCTTTTTAAATTCAGAGTTGAGTATGATCTCTCTCCCCTATTGTGATAATCTTGACACCTTTGGCAATCTTGAATAAAGTACTCCTTAACATTTAACTAGTGTATTGCTTCTCGGCCTTTTGGCTAAGATCAAGTGTAACATTTTAACTGGGATCAGAATAATTTTCTCCTTACAAGAACAGTTGAGGTCCTATGCCTAGACACAGAACCTACTGTGGTAACCTACCATTCAGGAAACCCCAGCACTCATCCAAAAAAGTAAGTACTCAAGAATGAATAGGTCTTCAAACATTAAGGTCACTTTTTTGTGTCGCTGTGACCCAAAGAACTCACCAATACCCTGAACAAAGACAATTCTGAAGACGACAGGCCTCAAGCTTCAGACAGACTTAAAAAAAAAAAATCAAAATACACACAAAAGACAGATTTTTTTGAAAAAAGAAATTATTCTCTGGAAAGATGAAGCTACTCATAGATTATACCTTTTCCCACAAGACGGCTAAAACTTTTGTCCAACTGCACATTCTACTTGAGAAGTACTTTCAATTTACTTTCTATCACCTTAAGAATGGCTCTGCATTGGGCTTTCAGAAAGATAAAGAGAGGCTTTTTAATGAGAAAACAAAGGCTACATTAGAACTTGGATGAGCACTGGGTGTTATTCTGTATGTTGGTAAATCGAACACCAATAAAAAATTAATTTATTAAAAAAAAATAACAACATAAGAGAAGCAATTTCTGAACTGCAAACATAGCTATATTGTTAATTGAAACATAGGTAAAATGAAATCTCTTAGCTAATGCTAAGTCATTAACTGACATAAAATATTTGTGTTTTTCTCTGTAATTTTCTATGTTAATTTTATATTCACCACTCAATTAAATTTACCTTACATTTAAAAAAAAAAAAAAAAGAACTAGACTTCACCAATTACCTTTGAGCTCTTAGACAATCATCCACCTTCCCCCAAACTATTTTTCTTATCTTTACAACAGAGAATTAACATTGATCTCACAGGTTGTTCTAAGGACTAAATGAAGTATGTGCCTGGTACATACTAGGCAATTCAATAAATGGTGTCAATTATTATCATTCAAGTCCAACTCATAAAGGTGGGAAAGTTGACTGGCCTTCCAGAGAGAAGGACACTGTACCAAAGTGTGCATTTACCTGACAGTGCACAGCTCTGCTAAGGGCAGAGAAATCATGACACCTATTCAAATGTTATGAGAAGAAAAAGAAAGTAGACTCTTGGGATAATTTTAAGCCAAGCTGTTTATGGGTACTTTCCCTGAGATGGAAATTAATGTCCCTTTGTTTTTCTATGTATTATATAAATGTTTACGGTAAAATGGATTTGAAATCAGTGATGCAATTCCTACAGAAGTTGAGATGGGGAATAGTGTATATGGATGAATCAGCGTGCTTAAGAATTCTGTAAGAGGGGCAGCCCGGGTGGCTCAGCAGTTTAGTGCCGCCTTCAGCCCAGGGTGTGATCCTGGAGACCCAGGATCGAGTCCCACATTGGGCTCCCTGCATGGAGCCTGCTTCTCCCTCTGCCTGTGTCTCTGCCTCTCTCCCTCTGTGTCTCTCATGAATAAATAAATAAAATCTTTAAAAAAAAAAAAAAAGAATTCTGTAAGAGATTTTCAGCCTTCTCTCCCCTCCTCACCACTGGTTCCTCAGAGTTTCCCTTCAAACAAACTCAATGAGCCATCCCTGGCAGCTTTGTCCTAGGGAGCTGACACAATATCCCATAATTGACCATTTCTTTCTAAAAGATACTTTGCTCCTTGATTAAAAGAAAGGTAACCTCAGTGGTTGAGCACTTGCCTTTGGCTCAGGGCATGATCCTGGAGACCTGGGATGGAGTCCCACATCTGGCTCCCTGCAGGGAGCCTGCTTCTCCCTCTGCCTGTGTCTCTGCTTCTCTCTCTGTGTCTCTCATGAATAAATAAATAAAATCGTAAAGAAAAAAAAGGTAAGCTGTTTTCTCCTTTTGCAGACATCACAGTGGATGCACTATAACAAATTCCTGTTCCCAAACAAGACCACAGAAGCCCACTTTATAAGCTATTCTTGTCAAGATAGCCAAGTAATTGAGAATGTGAGTTCTAGTGGCAGAGTACCTGGGTTAACTTCTGGCCTCTACCAATCAGTAACACGACTGTGGGCAAGTTCCTTAACTTCTCTGTACCTCAGGATCATCATCTGTTAAGTGGAACAGAACCTGTTTCTCAGCGTACTCTGAGAAGTAAATGAATTAAATATAAACGAAGATCTTAGAACAGTGTTCTGGCACACAGCCTAAAACATGTTGGCTATTTCCATTTTAACCATCTTAGAAAAGAAAAAAAAAATCAGGAATGAAGGTGGCAGCTGTTAGACCTTAGATAACCTTGGAAAATGCCCAAGAAAACCATCTGTTGATGGCAGTTTCAAGTTCTCTCTTGGTGTACTGCAATCAGGCCATGACAAAGACAACCTGATTATTCAGTATTTCTGTGTAAGAGATAAGTGTCTATTTCAACCCTGGAATGAACAATGTAGGAATGATCTCTTCCTGGTCCTTTCAGAAGCATAAGGAGACAGGATTACAATGTAAAAACTTGGTTCTCAAGTAATTCAGATGATAATTCCAAAACTAAAGAGACATTGGCGATATGACTTATTTTTAACTTCAAGTGTCTGGGTTCTTGACTTTCCTTTTATTCTCATTTTCTAAAAACGAAAGTAATTTGGTCAAAATATCAGGTCAAAAATATTATCAAGGTAAAAAACTTAGGATTTTTCTGCCAGTAATATTGATCAATCTTCAAAATGAGGAATCCATTCACTCTCTTTATCTAGGCTCCATCTCCCTCTGAAACTAGAAAGCACAACACCTTTAACTGACTTGAAACCACATGAAACACACTATTTCCTAATTGTCTAAAGTTTCTCAACGATGGACAGATGCATGGTACCGAAATACTGGTTCTAAAATCTTTAAATAAAACTGATTCACATCTGATTATATAGAATTTAAAACCCAATTTGTAAAATTCTATTGTTGAATTTTAAAGTATCAAAATGTGTAATGATAAATATCTACATTTTCTCTTACATACAAAAAGAAAGGTCAAGCATATAAAACACAGCAAGCGGAGAGTTCTAGTTTAGGCAAGGCTGTCTCTCTCTCCCTATTTCTACCCAACTATTAGATCAGAGTCACCTGGCCACATTCTAAGGTGAAGGCAGAGGAATAACATTTACTAGCAAGCGAGGTTGTACACAGTAAAGATGGCACAAGTACCACCTGTACCACATCTTTTCCTTTTTTTTTTTTTTTTTTTTTTTTTTTGCCTAACCTGCAAGTTAAGCAAGGATATCTTCTCATATATTCACATTAAGTTGAAAGAAATTACACTGGGCTTTAATTAGTCAGCAATGTTTTTATATCAAAGAGTTAACCTGTAGCACCCATGATTAGATGATCCTAATGAAACACTAAAACTTCATTTCATTAGAGAAA